CAAAAAAAAAATCTAACAAAAAATCCCCAAACAACAACCCACCCAAAACAAACAAAAACCGAACAAACAAACAAATGGAATATTGTACGTATTCCGCCATTTTCCCATAGTGTGTGCTTCAAAGTAAAAGATTTAAAAAGATAGAAGGAAAAGAAGCGGAAAAGGCAAAAAGTGGTGATGCAAACATAAAGTGCTCATGCATGACAATGCAACCCATTAAAAAAAATGACAACGTTTGCTTCAGAATCCTGGAATACAAAAAACCCCAAAAATCAACCCAACTGCTGAGAGGTCTTTTCTTTTGATCGGAAATGCTGTAAGGAACGGTTTCAGGGAGAAAAATATGTCATAGTAGCATGATCCCAAATGATACTTCCAACGTCATTTTGTGTCAATTGCAACAAACAGATATAATCGCATCAAGTCGTATGCATGCTCATCTGTAGCAGAATAATTGAAAATATAAATAAACACGTCAACAACATTTTAACAACACAGGGTGGAAAAATGAATGGTTGATCTACAAGCAAGAAGTAAAAACTTGGATTTGCCTAAGTAATATGGAGGTTAACAATTTCTAGATAGCAGCGTATACACTTATACCGCAAAGAAACAAACAACCCAAAACAACTGGATCATAAATCAGTACTGGTGGTATTATAATAATCATCATATCTCTGTGTCCACTTTAGGAAAGGCACGTTAAACGAATGTACTTCACTTCACTTCACTTCACCCACCAAGGGATGGGTGGGTACCCGGCTATAGACAGCGTAGGATCTTGTCAGTTCGTAAGTGTTTGAGCCCTTAATCAGCTGCCTGCACTGTACGCTTCCCGGGAAGATGGGGAAGTTTTTGGGGTGTTCTGGGGACTGCTATACTCGCTCTTCTTAGAAATAAATGTGTCGATTGGCACAATAAATAGTTGTGATAAACGTTAGTTTATGTAACTGTGTAGATCATTTCTATAACAATTGTGATAAACGTTACTTCCAGTAAGGGTGCAGATAACTGTGATGTGATAAATGTTACTTGATAAATAAAGTGTGTCGATCGAAACTATAGAATAATTATAATAATTGTGAAGAATAGAACTGGTCATCATTACCGTAAATAAGTGTGATGAACATTACCGCAAGTAAATGTGGTGATCGAATATTTCTTTTTTTTTTTCTATATTTAAGTGATCAAAAAGACAATTAATATCTTGATATGTCTGGCACTCAATGAAAACAAGGCATCAATAGAAGATGTAAGCGTTGGGATTTACCCCCCCCACCAAAAAACTCCCAACAACAATAAAAACAAAAGAC